AAGTGCCTATAAATTTTGTGATTTTTTCATCATTTCAAGGTTGTACTCAGTATTTATTTCGATTTGAAAGAGGCTTAACTGATATGACTCCCTCTTTCATATACGTCTTAGCAGAGAAGCTCTTATGTTTAGCGTACAATTCATGATGCGCATACCTTCACGGGGAACTAAAGAAGTCAAAGATACAAAAAGGTTCCAAAGCATAAGTTATGAGAGGAAAAAGTTCTGATTTATTGATATTGGCCATAAAAGATATAATTTGAAAAATGCACAACGTAATATCAACAAACATATCATTTTATATGCACTATCACCAACTCTCCAACATTAGCACAACCTATTCAATCTAATACTGCTCACATATACCTATTATGTATCACCTGCTCCATGGCTTTCGATTTCCTTGTACGTAAGTTTTAAGTCAGAATATGGCTACGAAATGACGATTTGAAGTAAAGTACTCTTGCAAATGATAATTACTCTTGCTGGCGTCAAAAGAACAGTACAATCACGATTCATGGTTGCATAAAGTTTAATACTTTTTGGAATCAGCTGCTCTTCACTATTATTAAGGTGCATTAAGGTGCATGTTTATTCAGTGCATTATCGCTCCCATACTACTTATAGAGCGACAGAAAGTGTTTAGAAAAGGAAAGGGTAGCATAGAAACAACTACCCACTTCATCACATCACATCTAGTTTTTATTGCACCATTCCATCTTTCATAACCATAAAGAAATGCATCAAGTAAATACAATTTTTGGTTCAACCAATTTTTCCAAATCAAACAATTTGTCTGTTAAATTGTTCATCATCGGCTGACCAAATTCGCGGATCCAGATAGTAGCAGCAATCTTTTCGCCTTCAGTGATAGGGCAGGCTCCATGTAAGGAATCTTCAATCTGTAAGTTGTACGCTTTTTCAAGAAGAAGACACATTCTTCATATTGAATTTTGAAGTTGGTAAGAAGAGTATAGAATTAATAAATTAATATTTTGATTCTCGTGAGGTGCATTTCTGCTCATAAGTCGCTAAAACATTTCTGTCAACGAAATTGACCCTAAGCCTTCCTACATCTGGTCATATCCATTCTTTAAGAAGGTGTGATGCATGTTTGTTTCCAATGTTATTTGATCTCAATACGCACTTTAAAGACCACCACTCTCCTAGCTTAGAATAGCTATAACGAACATCTCTATCGCTAAAATTCCATATACTGAGTTAAGATTTTGTTAGATGCACTGAAATGTATTAAAGCTTCCCTTTTATAAACTCACACCATTTCCTAGTTTGTCTAAGTTGGTCCAAAAAAGAACATCTCCAGGTTTAGGAGTAATTGTACGGAACAGATATGGATAAACAGTTTCTGGAATAAGCTGTAAGCTAGTAGCTTTGATTGACTTCACAACAAACCTCCGCCTCCTTTTGCCGTTTGCAAAACCAGAAGCAGAGTTGCGAAACGGTCCCCGAAATCTCGCGTAAATTGATCCCGATGTTCTTTTGAAGTGTAGTTGAAAAAGTCATAATGGGGAGCATAATGACCACCGGGTAAGTACGACAAGACCTATAATGTAACTTTACTATTAGAAGCAGTGTACATTTGCCTCAATCAAGTTACAGCTTACTGTTAACTTTGGGAACGTCTAATTATTTGATATTAGAGCTAAATCAATTTAACAATGCACAGTTTAAATAGAATTTGTATTGTTTTGCTAACATACTCTTAGAGTTAATTCTATGAAGTTCTCATTCAAGGAAATACGGCAAAGAAAGGTTTACATTTTAGCATAAATTAGAACTTCTTTAGATCCGAAGGGAATCCATAACTCCGCCGTCATTTGCAAGTATAGGTAATATGCTTTGAATAAGACAAAAGTTCTTGGAGAACAACTTCAAAAGCCTAAATTCACATTTTTGCTGTTCCTGAGCCTCATGATGTAGCCATAGGTTGATCAAAAAGTCCTGCTTTTTTCAGTTGACATTTATTTTCCCAAGAACTGCTGCGATAAGCCCACAACCAGGTGCAGACTTTTCATCCTAGAATAGCCTCAAAGCTTCAACGCGACGATCGTCACTGGTAACAACTTTGCTCCACAGATTTTTTTATTGCAATTTTAATCGCTAAGACGACC